GGACTACCTGTAGTAAATATAGTATTTAGTATAAACAAGGACTACCTATAGTAAATATAGTATTTACTACAGGCAGTGCTTGACTTACAATAGTTTGTTTAGTGAGCGTTCAAAGTTACAGCAACACTGAAAAAAGTGACTTACAACCATTTTCCACAGTTACAACTTTGGCTGCATCCCCATGATCACATGATGAAAATTCAACCGCTTGGCTGTCGACTCACTCATATTTATGACGGTTGCAGCGTCCCGGGGTCATATGATCCTCTTTTGCAACCTCCTGACCAACAAAAGTCATGAGGAAGCCAAGATTCACCCAGCAACCAGGTTACTAACTATTCTACCGCAGCGATTCACTTAACAACGGTGTCAAGAAAGGTCGTAAAATGGGACAAAACTGGCTTAACATCTCACTCAGCAACAGAAATCCTGGGCTCAGTTGTGGTTGTAAGTTGAGGACTACCTGTAATGGGCACTGGGGAGAGCCAAATACTTGTTCAGCTCTGATAGCAGGAGTCCTAAAACACCTGGACAATTTATTTAAAAATAACAGGAAGGACAACGTGTACCTATTGCTATCTTATCACTTGGCCCTGCTCTCGGGTGGTTTGTAAGCCGTTTCAAAAATTGCTATCAGCGAAACCTGCTATCAATGAAGCGCTAATCCGTTCCCTGTCCTGTTGCTTTGCTTGCAGAGAAAATGGCAACATCAAATTTTTGACCAAGGGCGACAATAATGAAGTCGATGACAGAGGTTTGTACAAAGAAGGACAGAACTGGCTAGAAAAAAAAGACGTCGTAGGAAGAGCACGGGGGTAAGTAAACTTGGGTTATGCAAGCAGCCTCTCTTGCGAACGCCGGAATATCAGTGACTGACGCAGAAGGAATTCTCTCCTTGCCTTTCCCCTGCTAGCATCATGGTTTGATTTGGAAAAACGCATTTATTTCAGGATGAGTCACCACAGACTTTGGGGCCACATACAATCCTCAACATTATTATTATTTTATACACAAAAAATGACAGTGTTCACGGCAAACGAGATAACTATGCTGGGTTTCGTATCACAAATCACTAGTCGAACCCTTCCCAAGCATTGAGGACTGCAGTGATGTATCAGTGTATTATGTGAGCAGATTCCAGTAAGGTAGCCTTCTGCAGCTGACCAATGGTGATTTTGTCAGCGCCAGTTGTTTTTAAGTGCTTGCCTAGGTCTTTAGGCACAGCACCCAGCGTGCCAAGTACCACTGGAATTACCTACACTGGTTTATGCCGGAGTCTCTGCAGTTCGATTTTCAAGTTCTGATATCTGGTGATTTTTTTTCAAGTTGTTTCTCGTCGATTCTGCTGTCATCAGGTATGGCAATGTTGACGATCCACACTTTTCTTCTCCACAATCGTGATATCCGGGGTATTGTGTTCCAAAACTTTATCAGTCTGTATTTGGAAGTCCCACAGTAGTTTTGCATGCTCATTTTCAACCACTTTCTCAGGCTTATGATCCCACCAGTTCTTTGCTACAGGGAGATGGTAGTTGTGACACAAGTTCCAGTGGATCATCTGAGCGACTGTTGTGACGTTATTTGTAGTCAGCCTGAGCAATTGTCTTGCAATAGCTCAGTATGTGATCGATGGGCAATCACATCGATCAGATCATCATCATCATCATCATCATTATTATTATTATTATTATTAAAAACCTTATTAAACATTAAAAAAGAATAAATTCAAAATACAATACAACTCATTAAAATGAAAAACACTGTAAACATTACAAATCATTCTTAAAATTATTTTGAAGGGCTCTGGGAGCCCCTTTTGACAACAAGGTTTGTCTGAAAACGGGTTGCATTTTGAGCTGGAAATACTTGTTCAACCTCACTTTGGTTTAAATCATGGGTGTCAAACTCGCCGCCTCAGGTTGTCATCACATGACATCACAACGTTTCCCCCCTTCGCGGAGCTGGGGTGGGCGTGATCCATCTGGCCCATAGGCCGCCAGTTTGACACCCCTGGTTTAAATTATTATTTTGATGTCTACGGCAGGTAACAATACTTCTAGATGAAAAATGTTTAGCAAATCCCTGAAGTCTAGAAGGTGAAGTTAATTCAAAAAAAGAAATCCAGAATGAGTACAATATCCTCCATACTATTTCCAAGAAAAAAAAATATTTGGACACATTCAGGAATTCCCAGAAGTCATGTCTGGCTTGTGGGGAAATCACAGCAGGTAGCAGCACCTTCCAGAATGATCTTGGTGGATCTTCCAAAAGTTTAATCTGCTCAAGTCTTTTTGGTACTTGGAGAGGAGACAATGAGGAAATAGGAAGTTACTTCTAAATGCAGTTTGCAGGGGCATAAATGGCAAAAGAACCCCAGAAGTAATTGGTGTAACAAAATGGTGAATTAAGATGGGCCTTGGCTTGATTCAACAGGGCTAACAATATAGCAATAGCATTTAGACTTATATACTGCTTTATAGTGCTTTACAGCCCTCTCTAAGCAGTTTACAGAGTCAGCATAGTGCCCCCTAACAATCTGGGTCCTCATTTTACCCACCTCGGAAGGATGGAGAGCTGAGTCAACCTTGAGCCTGGTGGGATTTGAACTGCCAAATTGCAGGCAACCGACAGTCAGCAGAAGTAGCTTGCAATACTGCACTCTAACCACTGCACCACCAGGCTCCTATGGTCTTAGAATAGTCCTCAACTTACAAACATAATGGAGCCTGCCTGTTACAGTTGTCAGTTGTGATAGTCATAAAGTGGATCATAACATTAACAGATTAACAAGCTGGAAGGGACCTTGTAGATCATCTAGTCCAACACCACCACCACCACCCCAAGCAGGAGACCCTACACGATATCTGACAGATGGAAATCTAGTCTCTTCCTGAAAGCCTCCAGGGGTGAAGCTCCCACAATTTCCAAAGGCAACTTCTGTTCCACTGTCAGAACATTTCTCCTTATTTCTGGGTTGAATCTCTCCTTGTTCAGTTTCCATCCATTATTCCTTGTCTGGCCTTCAGGTGCCTTTTTTTCTGGCAGTTTTTAAGCAAATCACCATGTTGCTCAGTGAACACTACAATTGTTAAGCGAAACCTGCAGCCGTTAAGCATCATACCAGTTGTAAGTCAAGGACTAACTGTGTGTTGCTTCATGCAGGCAGCAACATTTGTAGCTTTCAGTGTTTTAAGATGTTTACTAAAACATTTTTAGTTAGTGTATTTTTAAACTCTTATGTGTTACCCTAATACTGTATCTTATATTTAATATTAGCAACCTTGATACTATTCATATGGAGAGACGGGATGTAAATTCAGTTACTAATATATTAAATCAATCATGCCTGACATTTATTGTTCACCAATGTTGAGACAATGACTGTATTGATTAATAAGCCGACTATCTTTAATTTCTCTCAATTAGGTTTTTGCCATATGTTGGAATGGTGACCATAATCATGAATGATTATCCAAAATTTAAGGTGGGTACAGATTTAGCTGAGAATCTACGAAAATGATCTGTATATTTAGAATGAACATTATCATGTAGACAAGAAAAGCTGCTTGATATTTACCATTCACATAGTTTTCTCTTTGGGGCTGAGAATTATGAGAGTCATATTTTCAACCCCATCTGGAGGGTCCAAACGGGATGTTAGGAGTCAGGCTTATATCAATGTAATAATTAAACAAATAGATTTGAGGAGAACATTGCCAGTTTTGCACATTGTCAGCAATTTGAAGCTAGTTTATTGAAGGGTGTGTGAGAGATGCTTGCTTGTTTACTGAGGGTGTAAGATGTGGATTGGAGAGGATGCACAAGAGTGCATGATGCATAGTCAGAGAAGGTCTGGGAGGGTGCACCAATATGCAAGGAAGAACATGGGAGGTGGCCCAAGGCGGTGTGTGAGAGGCACTACACAGATTAGGAGAAATATATGTGACACATAAGTTGGGGCGGTAGATGGGAGATGCGGGTCAGAGAAGGTACGAGGAGGTACACAAGAGACACTATGTTGGTCAGAGGTGGGGTTTGTGAGGTGCTTGTGGCGGTCGGAGAGAGTATGATGGGGTGTATAAGAGGCACAGATCAGGGAGGGTGCATGAGAGATGTGGCATGGGTAGAAAATGGTGCCAGGAGTGCACAAGAGGTGTCCTGCAGAGGATGTACAAAAGGCAAAGGTTATGCAGGGTACAAGGGGGTACACAAGTGGCACCGTGCAGGTCAGGGATGTTGCGTGGGGATATGGTGCAAGTCGGGGTGTGTATGAATGACTTGGCATGGCATAAGTGTAGGAAGAAGATGGGACTAGGTGGGGGAGACCAGCGATTTGCTACCTTCTCTGCTGGCTTCCCCGGTGACTTTTTGGAGAAGCCAGCAGGAAAAGTTGCAGATAGCATTCCTCAAAAACATATTTAGTTTATAAGATGTGCTATGGAACATGGTGCCCACACACAATAATATTCCATGTGTTTGTTTTTTTTCCACAGTATGCTCTCTTAGCTGTCATGGGGGCTTATGTACTTCTGAAACGGGAATCATAAAAGAATCTGGAATTGCCTTGGACAACTTATCAGCATAATTATATGAAGAGATACTAATATATTTGAAATGTCCCCTTGTCCGCAGATGATATTATGTGACCTGTGCAAACCATATTGTATTTGTTTTGTTCCTCTTCATGTTGCAGTCTAACCTATGGGCAGCCCAGTTGCCTTCATTGAGTCACACAGATATATATATATATTTTATTATGTCCATCTTCCCCAGCCTGGTTCAGCTCCCCAAACTTTCAACCCAAAATGTCTTTTGGACATCTTGGGTGGAGATTACATAAATTACGGTCTAAAACCAGGTTACGGAAGGCAAGATTCTCTTGGCTGTTTTGTTAGCAAATAATTGTTTTGATTCCTACTATGTGTTCACTTTTTGTCATGAGTGAAAAAAATAGATCTGCTTATTTGGAAAATAGTTTGGAGAATAGTTTCACAGCCATGAATCTTGACTACACTGAGAATTCTCGTTTTTATTTACAACTTCCATGCAAGGAACCTCCAATTTGTACCCCGCTTCAAATTATTCCCATCTCACACCAACCCCACCCGGGCAGCAGTTCAGATGATGATTTCTTGAGCAACAGTCCCCTTCTTCTTGTGAATGATTTCACAAAGACAAATGCTTCTAACGAAGAATTGAAAACCACAATTTTGAATAAGGTTGTACCATGCGCCTTTGTGGTGTTCTTCTAGTTTGCATTGCTTCATCAAACCAGCCCGAAAATCAAGGTTTACAGTGACATTATCTGAGTTAGTGCCTTGGCACTTGTACAGGTAGTCCTTGCTTAACAACACTCATTGGGACTGGCAACTCTGCCACTCAGTGACACAGTTGCCTGGCATTACATGACCATGCCAACTTAACCAATGGCAGTTGTGCAAATCAACCAATGATTGTTAAGCAAATCTCATCCAGTCGTTAAGTATGACATCATGTGACCTGCCATTTTCAACTTCCTGATGGCTTCCCCATTGATTTTGCTTTTCAGAAGGCAGCTGTGAAGGTTGCAAGTGGCAATGAGATGCTGCAATGTACTTACAGATTGCAGCTTGTCAAGTGCCTGAAACGTGCTCGTGTAACCGTGGGAATGGTTGTTACAGATGGAACTTTGAGGACTGGTCTTAAGTCTCCTCATTCAGCATCGTTGTAACCTTGAACAGTTGTGGAATGAATGGTTGTTAAGGAAGAACTACCTGTAGTGTAATGAGAAACCTTTAGATGTCTAGCCTAGTTTGAGTGAAAAATAGAACAACTTACAACCACAACTGAGCCCCAAATATCTGTTGCTAAGCAAGACAGTTAAGTGAGCTTTGCCCTATTTTATGGCCTTTCCTACCACAGTTCTTAAGCAGATGCTGCAACAGTTGTAAGTGTAAAAAGTGGACATAAGCCACTTTTTTCTAGTTCTATTATAACTTTAAACAGTCGCCAAGCAAATGGTTGTAAGTCAGAGACTAACTGTGTTGCTGCTGAGTTCCTTTAATCATCCGTCAGTCCCAAGGGTTCTGTTGATTTGGATTTGCAGCCTAAGAAAGCTATAGAATGAGTGTTTCTCAATTTCAGCTACATTAGGATGTGTGGACTTTCGACTTTCAGAATTCCCTAGCTTGCTTGAATCCTGGAAGTTGAAATCCCCCACATCCTAAATTTGCTGGGGGGCAGAAACACTGCTATAAAAAGTAAGGAGGATGATTTTTTAAAAAAAGAAAGAAATGATATCCTTTGCAGCTTTTAAAATTTAATATTTATAGAGGAGTTTCCTTGCTCAGTAAAATATTCGAAAGCACATGATGCCTACACAACTGATACAATATGTTTGACACCCACTTTTTTGTGCCAGTAATGTAACATTTTTTTTCTAGTTATCAATCATTTAAAACCCTCATGGTTTTGTGAATAGCCTGTAATAAAAGTGACAGGTTTACAGAATTTGCGACCGTAGCTTAGATTTCACAGCATATAATCGACAACCAAAGCATGTCATTTTTCCATTTATCTGGTGTGGCTATTGCTTTTTTTTTTTTTAATTGATAGAATATGTGGGAGTCACCTCCATTTCTCACAATGTCAGGCAAACCAACTAAACTCAAGAGTTTGACCAACCATGAATCCAGCTGTATTGAGAAGGGGAAACTTTTCATTAAGGCTGTGTAGTGGTTTCAGACTCAGAGGCAAAAAGTTGTTCTGGAGTATATGCCAAGACATGAACGTAACTCCAGTTTGACTCTGGAGCTGCAACTTTTCCCAGATTGTATATTTGACCTCTAAGGTTACCATGTAATTGTAGGAAACTGTTGTAGGATCCTTGGTACTCTCTGAGCTTGATTGTTTTCTTGAAACTTCACTGTGTGGCTTCGTTGGTTGTGGAAGAAACTGGGGAAGGGCAAAGTCTGGCTAGGCAGAGCAAGGGAGAGGGAATTCAGAGGAAGACCCAGGCCCATCCCCTCTGCATCCTAGAGCATACAGGGAGAAACGAAGAAGAGAGCAATGTGAGTTGTGTGGCTTATGGGGGAGGAAAGGGCCCTGATGCCCTTCATTAACTGCAGCTGGGAACACAGTGTTTTAAAAGGGAAGCTGCATGCAGCAAGCTGTTGGGAGCAAATCGTGAATTTATCTGGTATTGTCATGGCTTATCTGTGTTCCTGGCGTCTTCCCAATTGTGTGAGTTTTGCCATGCTTTCAAGGCTGAAAGTCCTTTTCGTGCCCTGTCAAGTTAATTACTGCAGCTTGGTTTATTTGGATTTTTAGTTAGTTGTATGTACCTTGTTCTGGACTGAATTTTCTCCAGTCAAAGGCTGTTCCTGGGAGAGTTTTTCTCCAGCCAGAAGGTAACCTAGATATTGGGGGCAAAGTTGGAGATAATAAAGGGACTCTTCTTGCTTATTTGACTGTGTTGCCTTTGTGCCACGCCCCGGGTCATCACAGAAGAGAACAGTATTCCGTGCACCCCGGCATATATATATGCTGGCCACATGACCATGGAAATTTTCTTCGGACAACGCTGGCTCCCTCAACTAAGAAATGGGGATGAGCTGCAACCCCTAGAGTCCGAGACAACTGGAAAGGGGGAAACCTTTAGCTTTGTTGGTAGTCATAGGAAAATAAACGTTTCCAGTACATCCTGAAGTGGCGTTTTGTATCTGTGGTGCTGCAAAGATCTAATGTTCACTTCACCATGGATTGCTTAACTGCCAAATGCTATAAGCATTTCAATTCACTTTTGGATGTGTGTATTGTGAAGCCAGGATTGCAGTCAGTAAGTGACAGGTAATAGAACAATAGTTTAGTATGATGTGACAATTTGGTAATCATTAACTATTCGATGATGCTATTTGGATGTTTATAAGAGGGTCCATCAGCCCGAAGTAGCTATATTATAGTGAAGTATGGTCCTGTGTTTGGATGTTTTGCCTGAAATTGCTGCTTTTCTAAGCATTGAGAAAAGGAGAATTTTTTTTCTTATTATAGGATTTAGACCACCTCGAAATAAGAATGGGACTGCTGAAAGTAAATGAATGATACAAGATATTTATCCACTAGAAACACCAAACCAGACCTCCCCCCCACCCCCCAAAAAATCAGGAAGGCTTAAACTATAATAATAACAGAATCTTGCAAGTCTATTTATGTTATATCTTTTCTTCCTACTTAACAGTTCAGAGAATTAGAAAGTTTTCTGTCTGAGCCTCTTCTGAATATTATCTGCCTGTTGCGGACTTAAAATATGTTGTACTGTTCATTGTCCTGGCAATGGAACTTGCAAATCCCCATCAAAGTTGTCATCTTTATTCTCTATGGTACTTTTGGGTTCTTGGTGTCAGTGCATGTGAGAATGGCCCCTGCTGTTCTCATTAATGGCCGTAGGCACCATATCCTATCCTGGTATTGAATTGTCCACTACCAAGCTCAGCCAAGAACCCAACAGTTGAATCCTGAACTATGTATAAGTTCTAATATTGGAACAAGGAAATGGGGAAAAGTTTGACCTAAATTCTTTCATTATATCTATGTTTCTGGCATAATCCTTTGTAATTTCTGTAGCTCCGATCAGATGGGGCTGGTAAATAGAATTTGTAGTGTAAAATTTCTACCCGAAATCACATTCTATTTTAAAAGCCTAATATTTGCCCTTCCAACATTATTCTTGGCCTTTTAAATTCCTTTCATGGCCTTAGGAAAATCACTTTAAAAATGTGAATAATCTGGGTATTTTGTTTAACTTCTGCCTTGCAATTTCATGGTAATAAATGTGTCGGTCCTTTGTCTGTTTTTTCAAAAGTAAACGGCTATAAAGGTTTGCCAGATTTCTGTGAAAAGATCCACAAAGAGTAAAATGAAAAACAAGTTGTCAGTCCTTGAGCTGTACTAATAAATATGATGCCCACCCATCCATCTCTCTTTGTTTTACCATGCTATGCAATAATATCATTAAAACATTGGTGTCTTGGTTTTATAACTTAACTGGATTGTATTTCTTTTCTGTGGTTGTATTTCTGTAGTTAGTGCTGAAGATTATTTCAAAAAAACAACTTGTGCAAAACGTATGTTGTTTTCCAACATGGGAACGTAATAATTGGGCCTCTTGTTATTGCTGTAGTCTTCTTTTGAAAGGTAGTGATTTTATTATATTTTAAATCAATACAGTTCATCGTTCAATTAGTGCAAGTAAGAATACAAGCAATCCAAAGAACATTGATAAAGGAGAAAATGTATTTTATATAAACTGTAAAGTATTTTATATACCTAAAAGGTTAACTAGTACTAAAAGAGACTAAAAAAAGAAGGGAAAACAATAAAAATGGAAAAAGTGGAAAAAAAAAACACCTAAAAATCATGAAACATTTGTGTGCTTTTGACACTAAAATAATGCTTTATTTATACAAATAATTACAGAAGCATATATGTTATTGAAGGGCTTCTGAGTAGCCTAGTTAATGATGGGTGATATCAGAATACGCAAAGTTGAAAATATTTGAGTATTTGGGTGAGATTGACTTTATAGAATTTTAAATAATATTTGTCCACCGAAAAATGTTCCAACGTAAAGAAGTTTCTTAAAGAAGTTTTGGGTAAGGAATTTCCTTACACTGCCTCTTATGAAAATATTTTTCTACATTGTAGGAGTTGGTTTGTGCTAAGCTTGGTTGGACATGTATATGTACGTATTTAAAATATTCTGTCTGAGAACACATGCTCTTCATTTATTTGCTTTCAGGTATAGAAATAGAGAATTTTAGTAATTTATCACCTCTTAAAATACAACAAATGAGCTCTTCTTATATCTCAAACAGGTATATCATATCTCTTCTCTGCTAGCCTTCCAATTCTACAATTATTGAAATGCTGCTCTTAGCTTTAAAATAACACCTGTATTGTACACATTCAGCAAAACATATTACCTGATAGAAATTTCTGCAGTAGTTAGCTTAATTTCATGATCTGGGGAAAAGACATAGTTATTTTAAAGGGCGCTTTTAAAGGTGCTTATGCCCCTACACTTTGAAACTACTTTTGGAATTGAGTCATAAGCATTCTACAGCCCTATTAAAAATAAATAAATACCTGAATCCTATATATGGAAAGCAGAATTTTACAGCAAAAGGAAAAGACAAAAGAAGAGTCAGATGTTACATAAATTTGAAAATGGTGTACTTTTCATAAATTCTCTCACATTATGCAATAATATGTACGTAAATTATTATTTTTTTCCAAAACAAAAATCACATTAGCTTAATTCTGCATTTTACACAAGATCATTCTTCCTAAGAAGATCCCTTTTAAGAGACCCATATGGCATCCGCACTTTACATAACACACTTGCGGACTTAATTAGCAGCAAAGTCTTAATTTCATTCTGAATTTTCACCTTTGACTGTTCTTAATTCCATGCCACCCAGAAAGTGAGAACTATGGGTTAATTTGTTCAACGATCCACTGGTTTGTTTTCTTGGCTGTCCGTGGTACTCTGAGAAGTCGTCTCCAACACCAAAGTTCAAAGCATCCATTCTCTGCCTGTTCTGCTTCTTCAAAGTCCAACCTTTGCTTTTACAGAACATCACAGGGAATACCATGGATCGCAGGATTCAGGGAATGGGATTAAATTTGACAGTGATGTCGATGAAGATTCTCAGTCATCCAATTTCCTGGAAGTTGAGTGGTAGCAACTGCACTTCTTTTGGTTTTTTTTTTGTTTTGAAAAGTTTCCCTGCTTATCCAGGTATCTTCTTCAGTCTGATGTGATGATATTGGGCTTTGCAGCCTCAGCATAATTATTTCGGAAAGGTTTTATTAAAACACCAGGAAGTGAGAGTGCCGTTCTTGGGGATAAACTCCAGGAACTGAAGTTTAAACATGCAGTTAAAAAAAGCTCTTCATATATTCATGGGAGCAATCTCTCTTGCATGTAGGTGGAAGATAACAAAATGTTAACCTCAGCTGACAGGTTCAGAGATCTGCCTGCCTGGTTAATACTGTCCTCTTTCCTACTACATTCAATAGGCTAACTAGCTTTGAAAGCTGTCCCATTGGCTGGTGTGGGCTGCCCTGGAATCATCAATATATGATCATGGATTGATAACATGGCCCCGAAGGTTCAAGGGCCCTAATTTTTGTTTTTGCAGCTCATGAGATTCAAATACTATACAGCTTTAAATTGGTGCCATGGGCAACTGCCATTTTGAGGCAAGAAATAACTT